ATTTTATCGTTCGTTTTTACCGTTTTCAGTTCTGGTTGACAGCTGTATTGAAATTAGAAATAATCCACCTTAGCGCTTAGCGAGTTCTCCTTGACCACTTCTTTGAGCATTGAAAGTACGATTTAGCGGCCGGAAACGCAAAACACCGCAGGCGAGAAACCGTCTTTGTTAGTCTTTGTCGAAATCTTCATTTGATGCACGTGGTTCTCCTTCGTAGGGCTGAACCGTACACTTACATTTCTTCACTACTACTTGAGTACGATGTATCACAACTCTCGATAAAGCTTGCTGAAGGTTGGTATACATTTCTATTGGACGTTATTTCAAAAGTATGTCAACGCTGACTGATACAAAATTACAAGAGAAGTGAGAGATATGTAAGTTTCAACTAAGAGTTTTCACAGTTTTCTGCGTCACCACCCGCTAATTCGTCACCAGTCCACAGGACACTTTTAAGAGCATTTTAGAGCCCGAAAAAACCGAGTTTTAAATTTTTTGAAATTTTTATTCTATCGGAATTGGTTTGTAAATATGATAAGCTTGATATTTACGCAAAAAGGTTTTTCGTGCCATAGGCACTTTTAAGCCATTCTTACTGAATTACTTTACATTCAACTCACTATCTCTTTTCTGATTGGCCGAAGCGTACGTCGAAATCTACGCCTGGGACGCCATCGAGCTGCAGATTATACAATTATCAAGTCAAGGACACCCAAGGTCACGGGTAATCATGTCATGCAAGACTGCGGTACAGGAATTCTAAGGCTTGTCAAGTCACGTTCGTGTACTTTGTGTTACTTGCCGATTTGTATATTTTTACATAAATTATCAGTTCCACTTTTTTTTCTTTCAAGGGTTATTCTGGATATCACAAAGACCTCATCCAATATTTGTTTTTATTTTTTCTCAGAGGGCACGGTGACGAATCCTGTTATCTGATTGGTTCTTCGCGCGGTCCGTATTTTCCTATCTCTGCCTAGGGGCAGGGTAACGTTCTCGTGAGTCGCCGAGTACATCCCTACCTTCACTACCATTTTTCATAAATATATCTCGTTTTTCCGGCTGGGCAATATTTTTAAGCAAAGACGTCGGTCACAACCTCAAGCCGATAAATAACTTATCATTTATCTCTTTTCTCTCTCTCAAATCGCTTTGGTTGTCAGAAAAATGTTTGTTGCGAAATGAATTTGTATAAGCAAAAGTGTCACTAGATTGGTTGACAAGCAGCCTAAAAACCGTCTGTAATTAATGTTAATCATTCACAAAAAGTACCTAGAGAGTTAAAACGAGAGGTATTTGGTTACAATTGAATTAACGATGGAACTTTTATTCATTTAATATCTGAATTCTCTCAAACTTTTTGTCCGTAGTGAGAGGGCGAGCGAAGTTTTCAGTTCTACTACGAATACGCTTTCGGTGAGTCTTTCCAAGTCCGTTCAATTTGGGCATTTGTATCGTAAATTGCACAAAAGAAACTGAAGGAATTCAATGGGAAAGAGTCGCATTAAATCTCCTTGTGTCTCGTTGAAGTGCTCATTCGAATTTAGTTTTTGTAGAGAAAATTAAAGACCAGGTTTACACACGCCATTGTCGCAAACAAACGAGCAAACTCTCACAACTTCAAAATAAAAAAATTTGATTTACTTACAATTAATGTCCTTGTCATTTTCTTTATGAACAGAGGTAAATCTTCGTACGTTAATCAATCGTCGATGAGAGTGAATAATCTTCCCGTAAGATCATTGACTGTTTTTGAAGAAAACATTGTCGTGACAGTCCTTCTTTCAAAGGTGTACATGCGCTTTTTTTTTACGCGCTCTCTAAATTGCCGGTGTCAAATTATGACAAATACTCGTAAAATGATGTTTCAAAGTTTGTCTGGAAACCTTTTCAATCACCTTTATCATTACATGAAAATGAAAATGTTTCGATGAAGTCTCTCTTTAATTTGCATTACCTCTATCTTAACTATCATTTACTCGTTCAATAATTGTTCAGTTTATGGAAGATCTTGTAGTAATTACAGCCCTAAATCATTCGGGTTCTTTCGAAAAGAATTTCTTTAAGACCTCTGCACAGTTTTTCCTAATACTGACCTCCCGGCTGGCGAATAACATGTATATAATTAGTTAATAGTAATCCGACAGTTCCAAAGTACAAACCTCAATAACAACTGTACTTGTAATTTTAGCCACCCGTGGGAGGGATATGATTTCCTTCCGACGCAAAAAATCAAATTTTATCTCTTCCTCTGGGCATGTTTATTTTTTGAACGGTGTTCAGGAACATATAATCTTGACATTGAAGAACGAGATAGTGTTATACCTGATATCTCTTCAAAACACCAGTGATAGGGAAAGTAACTAGAGTTAGCTTCACTTCCTGGAAACAAAACTGGAGAAGAATCAGAGAAAAATCTGAAAAATAATCGAATAGCGTCGTAGCACCTACTGGCCTCTTCATCATTTATATTAGCTCATCCAGCTCAGAGATCAACCAATAAGTTCTCAGCAAAACAGAAACGATATTTGGTCATAAAATCTTCGCTCGTTCAACAGCGGCAGTTTGCCAATTAAATTATTTGTGAGAGCACCCCAGGTAAACTATAGTATTATTAAAGACATTAGGGCAAAAACCTTTTGGCAAATTTATCACATTAAAACCTTCTTTGTGCTAAAGGGCAATTTATAAATCGCTGATGCTATTGAAATCTATTCTTCTGACAACTGAAATAATATTTTCAATTTTCAAATTTCAAATTCTCTTTTGATATTCATTTTTAAAAGATTCAAATTGTTTGAACTGCGAGTATTCAGACTACTTCCTTTAACTTGCTGAAGACCAATTTTTAGAATAGATACTTGATTTGTTTTAAAGTCAGTTGTAAGAAAAAGTCCTTTTTTCCCCCTCACATGTACCATGACCATTTTGCATTAATTTCGTTAATAGCCGCAAGCAACGGAAATGATTATTTGGATTTCCACCTATCTAACTCGGTCCAGTTTTAATATCGACCATAGAGGCCAAAGCGGTCACTGTTCAAGCCAACGATCACAGCAGAATTTGTCCGTGAAGAATCTTGATTTCTTCTGTTCAAAGTAAGGTTATAAAGTTGTTATGAGAGATCTGCCGCGGCTTTACTTTAACATGTCTTTTTCCTTTTTTTCGTCATTCTTTTTTGACAGTGGCTTGCTCGAAGCGCGCAATATTTTCTAGTTGATCCAGTTGTAGTCTTTAGAATATGCTGCAGCCTCTCTCTCGTACTGGTCCAGTTTATCAAATCTAAACCAGTTCTTGCATAATATAAGGCACTTTTCTATCATGTTTCTCTTTGCTTAAATTTCCGTACGTTTAATTTTCCGAGTTCTATTTTTCCAGCTTTCTGAGGTTTTAGGAATAAGGTGGCGAGTAATCTTTAAAAAGTGCTGACTGTGATTCGAGTTCATGTTCGTTTTTAAATCGTAAAGCGTCAACAGAAAATTACGCTACATAAAGCTGAAAGCCTTGAATGAATTCTAACTGGAATTGCGGCAAACCTCACAGTGCTTCTCAAATAGCTAGACTCTGTATTTCAACCAAGTTGCTTTCTCGTTTGGGGTCAATTTTGACAATGCTGTACGTGACCAGGTGAAGCGAAATAGGGAAGTATAGCTAGATGAATCAGATTTAAAAAGAGCAGGAAGTGCAATGATAGCAGATGGGCTGATAATTCAGAATAAAAAGTATAACTTAGAATCAAATACGATTTTTCACTTGAGAAAAAGAGAAAGTTTCATTTTGAGAACGATAGCTGAGGGGAGAATGATTTCTAGTTACTTGTGCGAACAGCCTTCGATATCTTCTGTTTAAATTTGAAATACTAAACTTGTACCGTAAAATGCGTTTAGAGAGAATCTTTTATCTGCATCAGACGGCTTCTGAGCATCGTCACAGTGGAAACGATATCAGCCAATGATTAATCAAACATATAAGTATAATCTCACTGACATCATGAGATGAGAATCCGTCTCCGAAACCGACACCAAGCGTAAGTCTCCAAATACTCTTTTTTCAGTACGTGGGGAGATATCATCTAATGGTCAAGTTTCTCTTTAATTTCATTATCAGCCCTTTCTACGACATGTTGTTACTGTCTCTATCGGAGGCGCTGAACATTTGAAAGTCTGCTTGATGGCTGCCCTTTCTAAAATCGAAGGGCAAACTAGGCCATCTGGTAGTCTAACTCAAACCCATTGTGCCCTCGGCTACTTCAAATAAAGCATATGCATTTGCGTTAAAGCAGGAAAAAGCTAACTGCCCTCCGGACTTATCACTTGAAAACTCTCTAACAATCTTGAGGTTTCTGCTCCTGATATTGATGGGTTTTTTTAAAAATTTTTTTATTTTTAATTTTAATCACAAAGGGAAGAAAGAATCACGATGACCCCATTGACCATAAACAAGCGTTTTTCGACAGATTGTAGGCAAAAGTAATGTCAAAATGTATGCCTTAGCGACGTAGCGACCCTAAGCAAACCATAACGGCGACGAAAACGAGAACGTGACAAAAAAAAAGGATCTAATGAGCAGGAAAATAGCTCGGTTCGTGCGTTTTAAAAATTTTGTAACTTTCTCCACCATATTCTGCAAGGCAACGACACTAAATTACCAAAAATTGCGTGGTTCGAGGACAAAACCCTCATAGAAAATTGTTCAAGTTTCCATTTGAAACTCAACGGTGTTCACAATACGTTAACCCTTTAACTCTCTTGAGTGACGAAGACAGAATTTCTCCTTACAACATCAATACAATATCAACAAAATAAGTGATGAGAACAAAGAAAAATACCAATTTGGGGATAATTAATTGATCCAATACTAAATTCTCTGAACTAACATAAAAACAATTATATGGTTGACAGTAAGGAGAATTACAAACTTAATCTGGGAGTTAAAGGGTTAAGCTGAAGTTGAGGTGTGGCATCGTAAAAGACGGTAAACATAATCAGGCTTTCGCAAAATTCTACATAAGAATAGAAATTCCTTTTTTATTCAATATCTTCCACGGCCCTTTCATTATGACTGCTACAGGTGCCGATCACTGAAAACAAATCTCTAAATTTAGTAAGTCATCAGACGAGTTTCCCGATAACTCTACCCTTTAATTGTACAATGAAGCCACTTGAAATGCCTAGTTCCTCTTTCAACAAATTAAATGAAACAATACAACTTCTGGCATCTGTAGTATTTTGTAATTTCATATAATAGCTACATAAAGGTTGGACGTAAGACAAGCCTTTTGATTTTTTAAAAAAATGATTTTCAGCTGAAACCGTTCGGATTTGAAACATAAAGTGAAGAACGTTTTAAGTGAAAAATTACCAAAAACCAGATACACTGTGGGGGATAAAGAAACCAAACATTACATTCTGATGGTAAAGCATAGATTAAAATGTCCTTTTGAGAATTTGAGCAGCTCGACTAAAGCTTCTAACTCAAACACGTGACGCTTCTTAGCGATTGGTTCAATCTACTTAGACACTAACTTTTACGCAGCATTAACAGTTTAACAGTATAAGTAACTCTCCTTCTTTCGCCTATGAATGACAGGAAGTCCTTTAAATATAATTCTTGTTGATAATGGCTTAAAAAAGTTGATTTAACTACATTAATAATTTTGTTGTTTTACGAGAGGGGATCCTACGATAGTTTTATCGTACTTTTCGGTTGTAATGTCAAAAGAATCCGGAATTGTTTTGGTTCTCATTCTTCTCTCAATGATTGGCCTGGAAGACTCGCGCCAATCTTTTAACAAAAAATTAGTAACTCAAATAAGATCAATCGCTAATCAGGCAGCTACATTTTCGCGATTCAGTCAGCAAGCTTGATTTTATTTAGATTTCTTATTAGCTTTTTGTAATATTGTTTATTTTCTGATCGGCTGTTGCGATTTATACGCTAGAATAAAATGCCATCTTACAAGAATTCATGTGTTGTCGGATCACTTCAGAAAAACGAGGACGAATATGAAGATCTGTAATGTGCTCCACCAGAGGAAGCCCGGGCTCTAGTAGAAGCGCCTTGGCCAGTGGAATGACTTACTTCTTCAAGAAAACTGCGAAAAAAACAAAAGTGAATATTAAATGTTAGACGTATTAATCATGACATAATAGCTCTGTTTCCACTAGAAGAGAATAACTAATAAATTTGAAACTCAAAAGAGAGAAATTTAGGTGACGTTTTCAGGAAAATGAGAAAAGATAGATCACCAAATGCGGAAGTGCCAGTATAACTAAAACGAAAGCAATAATTTGCCATTGAAACGATAGTGGTAAATTAGTTGTCGAAAAATGCCACATTTAAGGCTATCCGGTGTGGTTGCTTATTTGAAGTTACGTCACTACATGCAGAAGAACGCTGAACGATTTGTGGTGAAATTATTCCTTCGTTTGGAATGGTTAACAACTGTTCACCATAGTGAAAATGAATAGTGGTGGATATTTACTTTTGTCTCTTAAAACTTGGCGACCTAATTTACAATTACAAGCAAATTCAAACAATCCGGCCTCTAAACATGTACGAATAATTATAAATTGATCTTTTTATCCTTTTACTCAATATTCCTTTCAATCATCATTTGAACAATTTAAATTAAACCCTCTACTGTTGACTCCGGCCAATATTTTGTAGAACGAACAAGCCCCAATTTACGACAGAAGAGAAAAATATTCAAAAAAGCTTCTCAAAAACTTTTTCATTCTTCTTTCGTTCCTTTGCCTATTCTTCTTCCTAATTATTGTGGATTTGGTTACGTGAGAGAGGAAGCAAAGTGATCATAAAATGTTCCGTCTCTTTCTTCGTGAACATGAAAGCTGACAACTATTGCCGTGACTTTGGTTTGTAATCCAAAAATAGCATCCTAAAATTCGCACGAATATTATAGTGTATTGGAAATGATCCAATTTACGTGGTTAAGTTTAAAAACTCCTTAGAGGAAGGTGCAAATAAAAGTGTAAATCAATCTAACGTTATCTTTTCCTTCAAGGTACTAGAGTTACTAGCGCAGCAAAACGAATATATTGTTTCCTTAAGGACAAGAGTGGGTGCGACTGTCACAAATGGATACAATTTCATTATAATTCTAAATAGAAACCTGAAATCCTTGACCAAGGAAAAATTATCAAAACTAACAGCAAATTCTATGCTATGGGCGACCCGCATGTTTTAAAACTTCGAACGAATCTTTCATCGAGAAAGAAAGAATATCCTCACAATAAAGAGGGTGACAAACGCCTTATACGTGATGCGTGATCGAGGCCAAAATCAAGATGTGATAAGTGAATTTTACGGAAAGGTGAGCACGATTCCTGAATTTATGAAACAGTGTGTGGCGGGATCTGGCTCCTGAAATACGTGACCCGTAAACTTTTCCTTTCAATATCGTTTTCGCGATATTTGCGCTCTTTGAAATTGTTACGAAAACCACTGAGCGGAAGATCCTGGAGAGATATTACATATTCTGTTGATTTAGAAACAATTTAGAATCCACAAGAAATGACAGTTGTGTCATAATCTTTCCGGAATGGTGCGAGACATGCACAAACGAGATCAGTTTGATGTGTGCAGTGAGTACGTCACGAGAGGAGATATTAACAACCTGCCTTTGTTTTTTATCAATCACAGATGTCGTCAATACTGAGTGAGACGAGGAAATTTTAGGCACAGCTCTCACGTTCTCGAGGTAAGAATCTTTAACTTTTGTCAATAAGATACGGGCAATTTTGCTTCGCACTCTGGATGCGCAACACGAATCGTTTACCATAATTCTAAGGGAGTAACTTTTAGCTATTCTTTCGTTCATACATTTACTATTTTCAAGAAATTCGCTAGACAAGAGAACGTGGAAACTTTGTAAAACGTTCAACGGCGCCATGCACAGAATTGACTAACTTTATCTCCAGGATTCAGCCAACTCCCAAATCTGGCGCAGTTTCCCACAAAATTAAAAAAATGGTTCATTTCTACGATCATCTAGTTCTGCGTTTCGGTAAAAGGCTTGTGCAAGCACACAAAGAACAATTTTTTGCTAAGTATCATTAACGCTTTTACATCACTATCTAATGTGAGTTCTTGTTTTCGTTTCACTTTGCAACGCCAATATTAAGCTAAGATTTCTACGTCAAATTACGGGGCATAATTAAAGGGTAGGCTGCTCATATTCTTCCTGGAAAACCAATACACTCAAGGTTGGATAAAAAAAGAAAAACATCAACAACAACTCAAGGCCTTTTTCGGGTTACAATGATAATTTTTCCACGGGTTACTACTTCTGCATGCAGAGGGCCAGGTAAATCTCAAACAACTGATTCAACATGGATTCTGGACAAATGCCATAACATGGGAAAATAAAACTAATAATAATAATAATAATAGTAATGATATAATAGTAACAAAAATAACAATAAAGACAACGAAGGAAAAAATATGGTCTAAACCTTGCTTCTACATCGTGATTTCAATGATCATAAAATTAACATAGAGGACAAAGCTGAGAAGAGTCTCTTGGATGCTTGAAGTGTTCTGATCTGCAAATTTACATTAGTTAGGAACGGCGCCTTTTATCCATTGGTCAAAATACAATGAGTTAAAGTGTTATTAAGTCTCCCACTTCAACCTTAGCAGAATCAAAGACGTATTCATTTTCGTACGACTATAGTGATGTCGATCAAACGCCGTTGAAAATTGTGTATCTTAGTGTTCCCAATCGAGATGACAGAAAGCTTGAAAGGTAATTATGATCTTTGAGTTCGTGAAGAAAGAAAAAAAACGGGGTTTAAGTAAGTCTCAAATCGAACACACCGTACATAAAATCAAAGAAGGCTCATATTCACTCGCAAAGTTAAAAAAGTATTTATTGAGAGGTGTGGAATACTGTATATAAATCGAAGTTAGCGAATGTTTACACAGCTGTTCCGACTTCGCATGTATTAATTTTCGCTCTCGGAAAGGGACAAGGTTATAAAACACGTCAAAGTCTGACTCTGTCGTCTTCGTTGTTCACAGTCACAGAGCCGAGTTTAAGCCAACCAGACTTGACACTTAAATTATACGAAGATAAAAGGCTATATTTTGAACGCAAAGGTGGAATACAGCGTTATCGTATTATTTCAGATAGGATAACATCTTTTAGCTATTTCATGGTTATTATATGAGTATTTATTTTAATATTAATTTTAAGGTATTTGGAACTATCAATCATAATAGTTATGAAAATGATGATGATAATAATAATAACTAATAACATCGATTAAAAAGACTGAATTTTGCAGAGATAATTTATGGCTTGTACTTAAATCTGCGATTCTCGTCGCAGGTAAACGTTAAACAGAACCAAGTGCCACTTTAATTCTTGCCCTCATTGTCCTAAACGAATTTACGAGCAAAGCCCTCGAGTACAAGTTCATTGCAATCACAGCTGAAGAAATATAGTATTAACTTACACAACGCCATTTATCGCTGTTATTTTAAAAGATTGGGATAGAAAGAGAGGTTAAGGGTACCTTTTGCAGTTATGAATTGTGGTTCCTCCAAGAACAATTTTCACTCCAGGCAATGTCTTGTTTAAGTTATAAACAGCATAAGCCTCCTCGTAAGTTGCTCCACCAACCATAAACAAGATAATTTCTTGGGGCCTTTAAAATAGATAGTAGTAAATCAAAATTCTACTCAGTGAAAAAGATTGCAGATTCCTAGCTCGGTTGGATAAGATATAAAGAATTTAAATCTTAGTTAGAGTACTCGCGGGCGACAAAGAAACCCTGGAGGTTTTCCCAAGAGATAAAATCCTGTACAATTGAGATTTCGTGATCGGATGCTATTCCAACCTTTCTATGGCACTGGAAAGGAAAATTTGTTTAACAATTAAAAGCTTCTTCCGTCGGCGATGAGTCCTTTTATTCTCATACTGTACTGATTGATTCAGCAACGATACTGTCTAGAGAAAAGGGCTCAACGTTGAAACGAACGCTTTAAACAGAGAAAACCTAGGACTCGGTGTTTTGTTATTGTTTCGTTGTAAACTAGTGTTTTGTCAATTCAAGGGTTATAAAAACCTTGGTGACTTACCAAACAAAAAGAGGTTCTAGACATTACACGTAAGTGTGATTGAATGTATTGCATATGCCTAAATCCTCACAAATAAAAATCTCAATCAGCAAATTTTCAGAAAATCAGTTCTCGGACTAAAAGCTTTGCACTGACTTGCAATTGTACTTGTACACGAACTCTGACTTTTTTGGGGGTTAATATTTTGAACTTCAAGGCTTTTCTAGATGAGAGTCTGTAAAAATTTGGTAAAGAACTGTAAGTGGTTCCTACCTGTCTCGCAGCACTGACGAACCAATGTATGGGAACTGCGTGTCCTTTAACTTTCCTTTCGCTAAGCTGTCCAGTGTTTCAGAGATCAAAGGAGTATGCTGTGTGTAGATGTTTTCGACTCCCTGAAAATACAACAGGATTACCGGTTTCTCTTGCAATCAGGGGGAACTAATCAAAATAATCATGAAAAAAACCTCATTACATCAAACACTGAGGGGACTACAGAAGGAATCCTAGAACAAAAGATCATTTGTTTGCGAGGCTCAAAGGCGAGTTTTAATAGCTGCCGCAAATCACTATTTCGACGTAATTTATTTAGTTCAGTGAGTACTGTTGAAGAGACTGTGTTGTTTCCCATGAAACGGGAAATACCCCTCATAAAGTCCTCATCTCCTGGGCCGAGTAACGAAAATTCAACACCGCACGCACTTGTCTCCAAACGAAAATCTATTTTTATTTTATTTTCCCTATTTTTCCTTCTCGCTAATCATAATTGAAAAGCTATTGTCGGGGAGCCACGTCAAAAATCTAATCAACAATGTCCGTTTCTTTGATCTTTCGTCGTAACCTTCTCATAAAATACAAAGCATTAGTTTAACAAACCGCCCAGGTTTGTATTTCAAAGTCATGTCCCTCCATCGTAATCAAAAACACTAAAGACGCTACCTTTAATCCCTTGAAGAATCTCCTCGTCAAAGACAACGGGGTTTTATTTTGCCCAAAGAGATCACTACCCCTGACACTCCTGCCGCCATACTGGATTAGAGCCGTCACCGTCTGAGCATACAAGACAAAAAATGTTTGCTAAAACATAATCGTTTTAGTCTATTTGTTTGTTTATCGTTTGTGCCGCACTTTTTCAGAGCTTATAATTTGCATTGCTGTCTATTTTCCATTCCCATTTTTTATGTATTGAACATTCATAACCCAGTTCATTATCAAAAAAGTAAAATGTCGATATTAGGACACTATCGTGATAATTGTTTTTCGGAACTTTCTAAATGCGCGCAATTATATGAAAGGTGCATTATTCGTGACTCTTTTTTTAACGAAAATCCTTAAGTAATACGTTGTTTATAGAACACATTTTGCGAAAAGCATTTTTATGAATATTGATCTTGATATACAGAAAGTATAGTGAGTTGTGGACTGCTGTTACCAAGAATCATTTAGGAAACGCCCTGATTATACAAAGACAAAATGAAACGCTTTTCAAGGCAAGGTAAATGGTCTTTAAATGACTCTCCCGTTTTGCTGATCTATAAGGACTACAAACACTTTATTTGATTTGGACTTCGTTGGTCTCTTTTTTAGAAGTGGTGATCCGGACTTGTCTCCTAAATTGTTTATTTGAGTCTGTCGAAAGAACAGTATATAGACGGTTATAAGTACGAGTGTTACACGCTTGAATCACTATATTGGGGCATGACTGACAATATAGATCCAAGTTCCGGCGATTTTATAACATTAACACTATCAGTTCTAAACCGCAATTTCACATCGTTTTCTGAAAGCTCTTTTTCTTTTGTTTATCTCTCAGGGCTTTTTGAAAGATTCCTGTAAAATTGATAATGCGAATTTTATGTCTCAGAGTTTGTCTTTCTTGGGTTCAAATCACACACACATCGAGGACCGAAAAATAAATACAGCAGGGAGTGATGCTAATGTTGCGATAACAATCCATTTGCGATTTGACGTGCCACTACAAAAATGGTCCATAATTAACATGAAAACAATATCACTCCCACACAATTAAGCCCAATTCATGTTTTTGCTAAGGAAAATTGAATTGGTTTATGTCACAGTCGCTTAGCTTCCTTTGGTTCAGCAAAAAATGTGTTGGTTTCACTCTAAGCTTCATTCTATTCCTTTGCTTCTACAAAGAAATTGTACTTTCTTTGTTGCGGAGAAGAAACAGCCCTCCGAAAAACATCGCCATCTGTTTACAAAGACAAAACGACTGAAACAGATCAACACAAACGACGGTAAAAGCCAGCTAGCGTTTCCTTAATAGGAAGAACAATTTCAGGTGGGAAAATCGAGAGGAATTTTTTTTCCATGTGTTACGCCTGTCAGAGTGTCACAATTATACTTTAACCATTTGTAATTAATTTCCTATTTCCCTCTAAAGCAAATAACATCCCATTTCATTGAAAGCTTACAGGACGCAAATATCTGCTTACATTGTAAAAAAAAAGGTTTTAAATCACGACATCTATTTTATACACAGAGTTAGCGCATTACATATTAATTTGGAAATTGCATTGGAATATTGGGAGTCGAAATTTTTCATAGTAGTTTGTAAATCGACTCTTAAAGTATACTAGAATTTTAAAGAGCGGATTCGTGAAATTAATTTAACCAAAGCTTACGCATTTTAAAAAGAGGGCGAATTACGCAATTTGCATGAAGGTAACAACCCTTCTGGTAATTTCCGGTAATCCTCAATTTGCAAATTACTATATTTGGGAGTTTGTCCTTTATAAATTACAACAAAAACTTTTGGATATTCTATCGGCGGCAGGCAAGCTTGTGGGGAAACACCACATCACATTGCGTAATTAGATTCAATACTCGTTTTGGAAGTGGAAAAGACGATTTACGTCCACGAGCTTGCTGCTTTTCAAAAAACTGTTCATTTTGGTAGGTTTTTCATAACAAGATCAAAAGATTATATTAACCAAGTGTCCCGAGAAGGAGTCCTACTAATACTGATGATCTGAGCACTCTTTCATTCAAAAGATGATATCTCATTTTTTTTCTCTCAATTTTCAATAATCTATTTGTGTGAGTACCCTTCCATATTCTTGTCGGGCGGTTGGAAGTGACTGAAAATTAATAAGTAACTTAGTTAGCCGTCAACTTCTTCATAAATTTTCCATTTCAATACCGCATTTCTTTTTTTAATTCAAAGGTTTGCCTACCTCTATATAATCAGTTTTCTAAAAACATCTTTTTCTTTCAGTGGAGCGAATTAAATGTGTTACAATTGATGTCAGAAGGCGACAACTTGCAAACCGAAGGAAGACGAAAGTATAACGACTTTACTAGCCAGGTTGAGGAAGTAGAGAGAGTGTATATCTAGAACTATACCAAACAAGATTCGTCGGGGAAAGAGGAAAAATTCAAACAAATCTGGAAAGAAATCTACGGAAGAAAGCATCTGTGCTGAGGCGAAGAAAGCTTTTTAAGCGAAGAGAAGAAAGACAACGACATGAACCACATCAATGACAGCAACTCAACTGACAACAATGGGAAGGAAGACCCGTTCAATAGCGACCCGACAGTGCCGTTCATTAACTACGGCTTCCTCTCGGTTTTCATCATCCTCGCAAACAGCCTAATCCTGCTGCTCATCTGGCGCAAACGGCGACTGCGCACCACATCCAACATGATTCTTACAAGTCTTGCAGTAAGTGACCTTCTAACAGGTTTGATAGCGGTGCCAATGGTTATTGTCTGCTCAGCCGTTAAGCGTTTCGAAGTATGTCTCCCTATGGATATCTGCAACCGCTTTCTGGCTTTCTCGTCCGTGGGCCACCTTACTTTCTTATCCATCGACCGTTATATAAGAGTAACCAAGCTTCTGCAGTACCCGTCCATCGTAACAGAAGAGAGACTTCGTTGTGCTCTGGCTTCTGTCTGGATGTTCGCGCTGCTGGCCTCAATGATACAGCTTAGCTGGATTCTGCACCCCACGATAGCTGAGGACACAGTGAATCGTTTTGACCTCGGATACGACTTCTTTCACATGGCTGCCCTAGTCGTGGTTCCCTTACTTGTGACGAGCGCCATTTATACCAAACTTTTCACTTTCCTTCGAAGGCAAAGCAACGAGATCCACAGCGAACTTACCAAGGGCTCGGGATCTCAGGTCAACAAAGGCAGACGACAAGTAAACGAGAAGAAAATCGCAACGATCTTCATCGCCATGATGGCGGTGTTCATCGTTGGACTATTTTTCTATTTTATGTGGGCAATTATGAATGATCTGCACGCCATAGGGAAGCATAGTATGTCGCCAAAGGCAGCTAACGCAATAGTCGCCACTATCGTTTTCCTTCGCTTCTTGACAGCGTTGTGCAATCCGCTCCTCTGTACTTTCATGAAGCAGGACTTTCGCGACGCTTTAAAATCTTTGGTTACTGGACTAAGGCGCTCGGATACAGCGAGACTGAACAGCTTTTCATCGAGAGCGCGTGCAGTAAGTTCAGTTTATAGTAGTAGGGAGTGATTGAATGGGGAAATTTGTGGTGAGTGCAGGAGTCAAGTTTCGAGCAAGAAAGAAAATAATAAAATGTATATCACACATAAGTAAATCGTCTGGGTATTAATGAGCTATGATGGTAAAGAAATGGTTGACGACAAAGACAATCAAACAAGATTATGAAAAGCGGTTTGACAAAGAAAAAAAAACAAAACAAAAACCAAAAAACTTGGATAATCTTGTCAGTCTTTCGTTATAGACTACTAGGAAGTATAGGTGTAATTTCATATCACAAACTATGAAAGGATTCTTACGCAAGTTATTCGGCATAATTTGATAGATTCTTTTTGAAATGGAAGGTTTCAGTATGTATATATATATACAAATACAAAACAAAACAGAAGAAACACAAGAGTGGGCGCATTTTCTTACTCAGTCGATTGCTTCGAAGGAAAAGAGAAGTCAATTTACCTTAGAAATTTACCCGTTTGTTTTCAAGCCTGAGTGGTACGTGTCTCGCATAAATATCAGATAAAATACCATGTCAACACGCGGTAGACGAACTTTATAAATTACTGGTTGTATTTAAAATAATTTACATAGCTTTAAAAGTTGAAATGAATAACATAGAACGACCCTTTTATAAGGTAAAGCATATTTAAAAGGCGTTACATGTATTATACGAAAAGGGTAGCCAAATCGTAAAAAGACATATGGGAGAGAGCCATCAATAAAGGTATACATAAAAAAGCTGAGTACACACGATTCTAACGGATGCTTTACATTTTGAAGCTGTTTTAGAGTTAAAACTACTTTATCCATTTACCAGCTCTTTCGACAATGGGAATACAGTCTTTTTTTCTAGGTGAGAAGATGAGGGGCGTTAATGAGAACGAAAGCGAGGAAACATATTTTTCATATAATATGGTACCACGAAAGCATTGGCTAGAAAACGATCTGATGTTCTACTAAATTTGGGGTTCGCCTAAAATTTTGTTGCGCGCAACCAGAAAAATTTTCACTTAAATTCTTAATCAAAGGAGTCCACCAGAACGGTTTGAATACGGCCCTGCAGAAACAGAGCCCTTTTTTTGTGGGTTTAAGGATGTACAATTTAGGTTTCGATTTTCGACAAATTGAATACCATACAACACCAAACTTACTGCAGTTGCGCTCTAAAAACAACTGGAAAAAAATACATGCTCTTACAAACAGAAGACGGAAACAAGTGAACACCCATGGTGGCAAGAACTGCGAGCTCTTCCTAATTCAAAGAACATCACGATCGCATTTGATTGGACAGTTCAATTAGGTTACACAAAAATGTAAACCTAGGAGATCCGGAAACCTCTACTGTAGTTGCTAGGAAACCATACAGCTCTAATGATACGCACCTTCTTAAGAGGTTCGCTGACCCCTCTTCTTGACAACATGTTCAACAGGCCACCCACGTCATTGCTGCTATGTTTTTCGTAACGAAGCGCGTACAGGGACACCATCCTAACCATGTCCAGCTCAGACACATTCTCATTGGCGAGTTGCCGACGGACATTCTGTAGAAATTTATAGTACGATGAACTGAAAATCCAACTATAAAAACATACACTTTTCTACACTTTTTTTTAATCAAGAAAGATTTTTAGAACAATACTAATTTTATTTCTCAAATAAAACACTCAAACCAAACTATTAAACGTTTGTATCCAACCATCAGTATGCATATTCTCCAAACTGTTCTCTTCACATTTTAACAATTTACAGCTTTCCTATTTGATGATCCTTTCCCCTTTTCTCGTGATCTTGATGTGTAATTTAGGGGTGATATTGTATGGAGAAATCCCCTTCTGGTCACTCTTAGAAGTCAAAGGCTTAACACTGACTACGGGTTAACATTGGGTTAAAGGTTTAGCATCGCTTTTCCTTCTGATGACTTTCCTTACTGTGGTTACGTTCATAAAAGGTTATTTCTCAAACATCATACATCACCAAAATGACTTCAATGAGTTCATATTTGAAATAAAAAAAAGCTTTTCGAAAATCACGGAATCATCAATCTTTATCAAACAACTCCGTTTCACTTCGCTACAAAACGTCTATCTTAGTATTTCGAGGTTTGATTGACTTAACGGTATATGCACTTGTAATTCGCCAGTATTTCAACAAAATCAGTTTGATACGAAATAAGAAGAAATGTTCTGCAAATTTCAGAAAAACTTGGCGACTTCCTCTAATTTAGCAAGGTTCTGTACCTGTAAGGCAGATGAATGGTCGTTCTGACAGGCGAGATCTTGTTCCACTTCGGAGACATCCAAAAGTGACTTGTCTTGAACCAGACGAGACAACTCACCAACAATAGTAACATGTTTAGACACTGTTCCCGACATCTTCTTAAACTGAGGATAATTCTCAACAAAAGCCTATTGGAAAAAAAAAACAAAACAAAAAAAAAACACATACAAAACCAAACAGTTGACTTTTGCAAAACACCGAGTACATCTAATCGCAAGGAAGGATCATGAAATACTACAGCTACACTTATTTAGCAAGTTTTTCTTGACAAATGATATACATTTATGCCTCAGCAAGGATGGCTTGTCAGTCACACGAGAAAATGAGCTGATGTTGTCTTACTTGTCCATGTTGTCAAGGAAAATACTGGCCAAAGTAGAATTGTCCTTTCACCGTTCACAATTGCCGTAACAAGTGTTGCTGTCAAGTCATCTACACTTGCAAATTTTGTACTGAAGAAGTTATTCCTTCACACGTCTCGTGCCGCCAGAAAAATGTTTCATATTCTTTCCGCAAAACTGCCAAAACATGTTTTTGTCGGTGTAAATAGGGAAAGCACAGAGTTACTTCAAAAAACGTTGTCCGACATCAGTAGTGTACGCAGATGACTATTTGGGCGATGACAGTTTAAAGCTGTTTGACCAAAGTTCTTGTGGCTTTATCACATTGATGTACTTCCACATTCGAGTTAGTTCTTAGAGATATACACTAAGACTTACCTTCATATCGGAAATGGACTCTAGACGCTGGTTACTCTTCACGTTCTGCTGAAACTCTGTCATCAGTGTTTTGATGTTTTGGCCAATTTCTCCAAAATTGAGATACATGTTCTGATAAAAAAATAAGAAAATAAAAAAAAGTGTATGTTAATGAACGGATTTGTTTTTTGTTTTTCTTTTGGAAACAACAATGTGCTGCTTGGTATTCTGGAATTAAAAGCTTACCCGTTGATAAAACTCGTCGTGTTCGGCTGATAAGACGACTTCCTGTTACAAAACAATCATGAAGAACATCATTAATTATTCCACCTAAAGCTGGTCAAAGTGAAAAGTGCTGGGGGCGCAGAAAACAACACGAAGCGGTGCACGCTAAACACTACATCACGAAAAAGGTGCAGAGAACGAATTTTTAAACTTTTTTTCGGTTTTAAATTTTTTTGACGTTTCGAGCGTTTCGTGTGGACAAAGGGACGTTGCGCACATCATAGGCTTTTCAAAATTTACTACGGCAGTTTACCTACCTTCCACTCAGGACGCGGGATGCGTGTCATACATGACCATCGTAATGATGACGCTCATGGTTGAGAATCTGAGCGCGGAATCCGAAGGTCTGAGGTTCGATTCTTCATGGGGACTCAGAATTTTTTTTATGTCGCGCTCTCTTAACAACACGAACAGCAAATCTTTCTCTCTTATTCTTATTCAACTTACTCATCTTTAATTTTCTAAACACATCTAAAGGGCCTGATTCGAGCGCAACCGGAATTGTTCATTGCTCGTTGTTTAGACTCTTAATTCTCCCCATGCCTTTATCAACTCAGTGGCCGGGGTATGAAAACATACCAGCAAATTATGGGCGTAAACTGCGATGATCAACAAGTAGAAACCCGTCCCTGTTCTTTTTTAATTCCTGCTGAGGAAATCGAGATAAACTTCGGTAGTTGTAAACCCCCTAAAGCCTAAGTCTAAAGTGCGTCATCGAATGAAGAGTAAGATCAGCATAATATCAATGAACTTTCATCCTAAGGGCAGAAACGCAAATTTTGATACCTGAAGTTCTTTTGTGATGCCAGGGCACCTGGACAGATCCACTCTGTTATTTCTCAAACCAATCAGTTCATGTACCATTGCCTGGTAAGTCCACTAAATGGAACATAAATAAACGAAAACTTGTATAACGTAGATTCTCACCTGACAGTCACCCTGAGTTTTAACCAAACAAACACACCGCTAAACGGAAAAATCGCGGGGAATTAAGAGGCAGGGAATGAATGGTTCGAGTAAATTCTCCCGGCAAAGATGGTAAGAAAAGGTATTTTCATCGAGCAAGTTGTCTAAAATTCTTAGCAATCTGTTGACTACCCTTGGCGACGACAACAGCGAGTACAAACGCTCGGAATATACCTATTACGTAGTTTATTCTACACCGCACGGCCCTTGGTCAAGGTATGTTAACTTATCTGTAGATAACAGTGTAAGTACCCACTTGGTTTAGCAGAGGTGTTACTGGATCATCTCGTCTGTCTAAAATCAACAGCACGGGAGGAACATCGGTTCTTCTGAAGTCAAACAGTGAAGCCTCCTCATTTATCTTGTGCTAAACATAAAAAGTCAATTATAAACGAAAGGGTCTGGTGAGCTCCATGTACATCTGACGCCTAACATTGAAATCAGAAGTCCAACTGTATAAATTATACTTAGGCCAGAGAAAAAATCCATATGAGATTGCTACAGTATAAATTTATGCTATCTACAAGAAAGCAGCAAAGAAAGATTCTTGCAACCTTCTACTTATTAAGAAAAGGTTTATTATTTAATAGTATAACAACCTGCATCTCCCTTAATTGCAGTAAGACATTTGTGAAGGATACATTTATTATTTTGATAAAATAATGGTGATCAGATCAAACAAAGATTCCATTACAGTTCTGACCTTGATATTTTCAGCAAGTCTTTGAGCCATCTCAGAGGACTGTTGATATCTTATCAAAGGGCATTTCTTTAATGACAACAACACAGCCAAAATACCCTGACAAGAGCGATCTAATGCCTCACCATCCCAAGATCCACCCTTAGAGAAAAAAAAATTTGTAATAACAATGTTAATAGGTAAAATCAAGGATTCAACTCATAACAACACTGCTGATCACAGTAGTTTGCAGGATACTTGTCACAAATGAAACTTGCCTCCCTCATCAACTAGTGTTTAGAAGATTACAGATTTATGTAGTATTCCTGTGCAATCTAGGAAGACATAATAGTGTGCACTTGTGAACTAAAAAGAAAAAGATACTCAAGGTTCAGCTAGTTCACCATGTTTTTGTAAATAATTTAAAAGTTTGAAATGAACATTACAGTTTGGACAAAAAAGAAAAAACAGATGATGTATTACTAACCATTTATCTTGGTAAACAATTAATTTTCTGCAGTTCAGATGGTAGAGAATCAGATAACATTGGAGGAGAATCAAATCCACTCAGAGTGATCAGACTATTTGTTACCCTAAGCTTATGACAAATGGTCTACCTATTCCATTTTTTGAACACATTTATTCTTGTAAACTAGTGAATGTAATATTTCCAAACAAGAAACACTCACCCGTGAACAACTTGGAAGGTTTAGTGAAAATACATGTGGACTAACAGCAAAATAGTCAGAGTAAAATTCCTGCCACAAATAAAGAAATAACACACAAATAAATCAGTTCCACCCCTCCAGGGTGAAAGAAGAAACAATACATGGGGAGGGGGGAGGGGTGAAAAGGGCAGAAGAGCTGGTTCACCAGGGGTGGCATCTTCTGTGAGGAATAAAATATGAACAAACAAAAAAAAAAAGTATACAAACATGCAAACTTCTAGAACAAAGAAATGCTATGGAGCATCATTAATGTCAGTTAACAGGACTTTACATCATAAGAGAGATCTGTGTTAAAACCTTGCTTAGATTGTATATAGCCCCTGAGAATGCAGGCATTTTCACAAAAAAGATGTTCAAATCAAGATGTGTGAACACATTGGGACTCCAGAAAATGCCTAGTTACATGTAGGTTATGGGTTGCCATAGAAATGAATGTATTTGAACCATTAAGAGAATATCATTATTGCCAGTTATAATGTTCTTAAAATTCTAATATCACCTGGACTTCTCTTACAACTTCATGATCATCTGCTTCTGCAATTGCTCTGATACTGGGCTTGACAATGAAATTGGAAAAGTCTGAAATACAAGGTACCCAGTAATAAGTATGTAATAAAATATGTGAGCCTCCATGAGGAAGGGGACTCAGAACAAGTCAATCAGAAAGGTCTGGCATGCTAAGTGAATTGAAGACGAAACAAAATACCGTCCAGTAAGTTAATAACTGAAATTAGAAATAAAAAAAAAAGAGACATGGACATTTCATAATGCTATGTGAGCCAGAACATTCCTCATCAATTCATTCCTCACCAGACACATTTCAGTGTTAATATCAGTACAATCAATGCCCAGAGAATTCCTGACTAGTCACCCTCTCAACTCTGTTTATTTTGCAAGTAAAATTAAATAATTCACTATTTAGATTTTGAGAATACTCACATAGGTAATATGTTCCATATTTTGGATTTTTTAGTTCACTGCAAAGGTGCTCCACATTCTCCTTTTTAAATACAAAGCAAAGGGTAGAGAATATAAGAGAAATGTTCAAAGCCACAGTAATGGCAAATATAGCTAGCATACCTCTCTATTGTAGGTAGTTGACAACCCTCTACTCAACACACATACAATAAAAAAAATTTTTCAAATAATAAAATATCTTAAAAGTCTTCCTCCCCCTCCCCCTCCCCCCACCAAACAAAATTGGGAAGAGGGGGAAAGGGAGAGAAAAATGAAAGTTAGAGAAAACATTTAAAGGTAGAAGAGTGTTGCAAAATTTTTTCCTCTCATTCTAGATTAGAAACAACCCATGTTTAACTGCCACAGCAAAACATTACTTTTTGCATGCTGGGAATCCAGGATTATTTTAAGCCTTTAACTTCCATGAGTGACCAAGACAGAATTTCAATACTAAATTATCTGAACTAACATCAAAAGAATTGTATGATTGACAGTGAGGACAATTACAAATTTGATCTGGGTTCTGTCAACCTTGCCCAGAATTTTTGTTTGCAAATGGTTTGAAACCTGTGGTAACATGTAATGGTGTACATTATAGTTTGATCATCCAGGTGAGTGTAGTCCTAAGAAGGACTGTTGCGGGAATAATCATGACACATGTCTTAATAACCTGAGCAGAAATCATCGTCAGAGCCAAGTGACTTTAATTCTTGGCTCGGACTCTTGACTCTGACTCTTGACTCTGCCTTTCACTGAAAGTTGAATCTTGACTCTGATGACGACATTTGTTCAAGTTGTAACAACATCACTCTATTACTGACAAAATCATTTCTCAGGACTGCTCTCACCCAGACAGTCATGCTACACTATCACAATTTTGTTCCTATAATTAGGAGCTTGTTTCACCAATGTACCTTTGTTGGTCTCAAGAAGCAAATAGCCTTTAAATGCTTCATTGTTTCTCGTCCACTGGTGTCAATTCTTTCAAAAAGATACACCTCCTTTTGCAGCACCTCACTCTGACTGTATACCATACTCACCACACCTGTCTATTAAAAAAAAACCAAACAAACAAAATTTTAAACATTTGTTTTGTTCAGGGAAAGACACAGCTGTAACTCATAGAAAAAAAAATTGAAAGAAAATAATGACTTATAACATGAAAATGGTTCAAGCTGATTTTATTTCACCCAACCATTAGTGCTCCTGGTAGAGTGCCACTAAGGTGAATAAAGTGCTCATGGTAGCTGATCAAGAGATATTAGGGTGTTCATTGCAAACATCTTGAAATCCTTTGGTGAATTTCAAAGACTTTCACAGCTTAATATCCTCAGTGCTGTTTCGCCCTCTTCATACATCAAGAATGTTAATTTAGATTTAGATTTACAGGAATTATTTACATAGTATTATATGCCGAGAACAAATTTATAAAGGCCACTTTAAAAGAAAGGTTTACAAAGCTACAATAAGGAACTTCCAATTATGTAAAATTCAGAAATAAGAGGCAAAAAGAGAATGGATAAAAATATTAACTCCACAGGGTCATGCAAACCATTCATCAATCTCAGCTGGAATATTGTCGCTTACTGTTTCCTTGTCCATAAGAAGAACTTTCATTCCTTGCCCACTATCTGCGATCATCTTTGTGACGTACTGCTTCACTGCCAAAATGACATTCATGATTTTCCCCCTAAAAGAGCCCGTTGTTTAGTTCTGATGTGAAAATTAACATTAACGGCAATCTTTCAAGATATCGCTTATGATCTTCAAGTTACATAGCTGAAGACGCCATTTTTATTTTCATGACAGGTCTATACCAATCTCTCTCGTCCAAGAAAGCACAAGGCCCTATAATTATGTCAGGGGAAGGGTGAGGAAGTTACTTACGTTTGGGGAGTATAAAAACAAACTTCGATCTGTAATTAAAGCGCACTGAAACAAATAAAAAACATTTAAATACACATTTTTCCATTCCAATTAGCGATTTTTCTTTTTTTTTCTGGCCAAAATATTAAAAGCGATGAAATATCGATTTTTCCCTCCCTACCCTAGACAAAAATGATAAGAGCCACTAACAGTTCAAGATGGCGGACGAAGTAATCGACATTGAAGTCGCCAGGCAAAAAATGAGACAATGGCGCGATGAACCTCTTCGAAACAGTGAAGAGGTCACTGAATTTGGTGAATGTCTTATTTTCGAGCATGGAAATAAACTCGGAGACGAGCTGTGGACGATCTATGAGCAAGTATTCTTGGCTTCGATCGACTGTCGAAAAATGGATTTGGCGACCATGTGCTTGAGGGAACTCAAATCACAATTTCCTAATAGCGTACGAGTCAAAAAACTCAATGCAATGCGCCTGGAATCGTTTGATAAATACGACGAAGCCGAACAGATTTATGAGAAGATTCTGGAGGCCGAACCAGCGAACGGTGCAGTCCGTAAAAGGCTGATCGCTATCCTCAAGGCGCAGAACAAGGTTGGGGAAGCAGTTAAAGAGTTGAACGAATATTTGAAGAAGTTCATGAGTGATCAAGAGGCGTGGAATGAGTTAGTTGAGCTCTACATCTCACAGCAGGATTACAAAAAGGCGAAGTTCTGCATGGAAGAATTGATCTTAATAAATCCCCACAACCATCTGTTCCATCAGAGGCATGCCGAAATCCTGTATACCCTTGGGGGAAACGAAAACGTGGAAAAGGCAAGGAAATACTTCGCACAAGCTCTCAAACTCGATAATAACAACATGAGGGCTCTGTTTGGCTTTTTCATGGCTTCTGCTCATTTAGCAAATGCCTCCAAAGATGTTAAGGCCAAGAAGGAAAATTCTAAATTCGCTGCCTGGGCGGCAACACAGATAAGTGAGAGGTATCAGAGTGTGAACCAAGCCCACGAAGAGGAGGGTTTTTTAGAACTAGAGAGCATGCTAGACTCTCTACAGATTGCCATTCCACAGAATATTTCTTCACAGCGACTTGGTGACAATTAGATTTTTACAGGCAGATACATGGTATGTATCTACATGAACATGCAAGTGAATATTGAGGAGTTCAAACCTATGGAGCACAAGACTTAAATATTTCTTTTACAATTGTTGTTTGATTTGAAAATCTTGAAACTGAGTAGTGAAAAGCCCATTTGATGGGGATATATGGCAGATTGTTCAATTTACATGTAACTTACACGTATGATATTAAATCTCTAGGCCACAATCATCAGCTTTTGTCAATTTATGCTATCTTCATCATTCTCCCTTATTTTTGGTCAGTTTATTAAAAAAATTTAACTCTTGTATGATATGAACTGACAAAGTTGATAGCTGGGTTGAATTATATTTGCATAGTTAGGAGAACATATTGCTTTGCCCTTCTTGGAGGATCAGGGGCATGCTCCCACGCTTGTGTAAGGTGACAAACACAAAACAGGATAGATATTACCATGGGTGAAAATTTTTTAGATGCTTAAATGATGCACAGGTACACGTAGCTCTTTTAAACAAGTCTAGTGTGATTTAATTAATTACTTAAACCCAATGTATATGCACATGAAGCTTATTTACAAGCAAAGGTATTTGTGTGAATAAGACTCTCTTCAGTGTGAATAAACCTCTCTACAGTTCTAACTATATGCCAATTTTCCAAGTTATTTTATATTGGAGTAGTAAAGGTCATATAGAAGCCTCTTATGATAAAATATGTTGGACATATTGTAAGAAGACATAGAAAAGCTGTAACAAGTATGCACATAGGTGCACTTTGTACATGTGTACCTATCTGATTTCTACATTGAAACAGTAAGAAGAACATTGTGTTGAGCAAGTGCTTATGTACTAAATAGAGGATATACAGTTATGCATAAACTTGATATTGCAATAGGTCTTCTTTACTTACCAGTATGTTTTATAATAGGATATACCACTGCCAACCTAAAACTTTGTCAAATGTTATGTACCCAACCCCACCCCCCCCCCCCCCCCCCCCCCCCCCCCCCCCAAGGAAGAGCAATGGAGAGATGGCGTTGGGGTGGAAAATTAAGTCATGTCTGGGTGAGGATGTGTAACTGTATTTTCAAACCTTGACCTAACATGTGTTTCTAAGACAATCCATTGATAAACCTACTTTGTTTAAAACGAAAAGAAGCTATGAATTATGGAAAATTGACTTTACAGAACCGCACCTAGTATATTTACACAGAATATTTAGTGTGTTTGGGTAAACTCTTTTCGGATTCTTTCACTCTTGACCCATTGGAAATACAAACCGTTGATAGCCGATTTTATCGTAATTCCAAATCAGGCTGACGCTAAGGACACGGCCAGTTTACCAGCTTGAACAGGTAGTTGGCCTTTGTAACACGGAGAATGATTCGGTTTGTGAGAGAGTCAATCACTCGGTCAGTTCCACTTTCTCTCGTCATTTTTTTTTTTTTTTACCTAGTTTGAAGTTAAAGCTTGAAACCAAACCAACAAAAGTAAACAATTTTTCTAAGATACCGCGCTTAACCCACATGTTAGACGCTGGAACATTAATATCATGAGACTTTGAAGTGCATTTTAAAATCTCTTTATCTTATTAAAACAACTGGTTACAAACTTGATTGAATGAGCACTTTACAGTACTTAACAATAAAAATGTATTATTTTTTTGCGGCGCAACGACAGGCAATCACAAAATTATCGGTGTCTCTAACGGTTTCACACATTCCAAAGGACTTCTGGCTATGAGAATCTGTTTTACTAAAACAGTCTGGGTGCTCTTCCTGGCATTGAAACGTTCTTCTTCCATGCAAGACAAGAATCTTTTTAACACAACACCTGTCATGAGTTTGACGCTTGACACGTACACGTACACGTACTGGGATGGAGCTTGTTGCTGACTGTTTGATCTCTGAGCTTTTCCAAGGTGACAAGGTGAAGTGATAGACTTGCCTTCCTAGACCTTGAGGCAAACAGGTTGCTTCGTGAAGAACGAAGAAAACAATAGCGAAGATAGTAGCCCTCTGTAAGGAAAATGATGTTTCGTTTGGTCACGTCTGAGTTGGGCTTTCGTAATTCATTTATAGAGAAAGAATTTCAGTGGACATAAATGGCAGTCCGCCAAAAAACTCGTAAATGTGAGTTTGGTTACAAAGTGTCGATTGTATAATGGATAAACAAAAACACTGATGGCTGGGCTTCGACAGTAAGATAGTTAACCCTAGAGCAAAACATGCCTAAGATTCGTTGAGAGGACGACTGAGACAGAGTTTCTTTGGTTCCACCGTGGAAATGGGTATGACGGGTTTTATCAGGTCTTACGAGCCAGTTATCCCCTGATTTTGATGGTATATCTCGGTTTCTGTAGCATGAAACGACTTGGAATATTGCTGCTCCTTCCTTTTAACCTTTTAACCCCGAAGAGTGACTAGCATCTAATTTCTCCTTACATTCTCACCTCTGAATCACATATTGAAGTTACGAGAGTAAAATAAATGATCACCAACTAAAGACGCTCTTGATTTTCAGACAATTTCTCCTTGTTAACACTTAAGGAGATGTATAGAGAACAGTATGGAGAATATGCATGCTTACATTAGAATGAATGCTATCAAATTTATCCTGAGTTAACGAAAAACAACGTTTACATTTCATCATTTCATCATTGACATGAAGAGAAAACTGAGCTCTTTATGTCTTCATTTGTTTTACTGTGTGACGATGGGTTTTTAGCACTAACAAGTAACAAACAAAATATAATACGTGAATATGAAAGCGATCTTCGCAGTAATGAACACTACTTAAGCAGTAGTGA